TGGGGAGAATTCCTAGATGGCTCCAGAAGATGAACCAATTGGGCAAGTCAACTCTGCCTTCAGATGAGCGCCGACAGTGCTGAGACGGCAGGGTGCGTGCGAACGGTCTTGACCTGTGTTCTGCCCCCTCCGCAGCATATTCCCGGCTCCCTCAGATGGGATCAGCCACAACTTCCTGGGGATGGGTGTGCACAATTATTTGAACAAAATATGTGCATTGTTTATAAAAAGCATGCAAGCACAATTTCCCCCCTTTTAAATAATGTGAGGTTTAAAGGGCCTGATTGAAGAACAAGGTCTTTTTGTTGCCTGAGATAAGGGATGCTACAGACCTGCAGGATGGGAGATAAGCCCAAACGTGCTACTGGGAGCCCCGCTGGACCAGCAGGAGTTTGGGGGCGGGTCCGTGGTCAGGTGCAGGGACGGCATCCTGGTCCCCACAGAGGTTTGGGGCTACATCTCCTTTCAGCCTTGCCCAGCAAGCCCCAAGGAGCGATGCTTTTTTCCTAGTCGACTCCATGGATCCCCAGTTCTTTGCAGAAAAGGCTAGTTAAAGAGATTGGGGGTAGATGTGACAGAATCCCCCCCCCCCATTAAAAAATCCTTGATGCCATGAAGCTGCCTGCTTTCTGAGGGATTAGAGGGCTTTAGGAAGTGGGTCACCAGTGCCTTGAGATGATGACTCACAGGGATGAAAAGAGAGCCAGTGCATGAGGGTTGTGGAGAATTAGGGAGGTCCCAGACCAAGCTGGCCCCCTTTTGGTCCATGTTGGCTTCCACCCAGAGCCAAGGGCAGGTATAAAACATATACCTGCCCATATAAAGCAGTACTGCATAGAAGCACCGTTGTAACTCTCAAATTGCAAGCATTATGGAATATGAGGACACCTACCATTAAAATGCGAAACGCTCATCCATCACGCGTGGGGCTTCCAAAATCCACAAGCCATCGGCCTTTCCCTGCATTGAAAGCCAGCGTGGTTAAGAGTGCAGGGCTGGGACTCAGGTGCTCTGGGTTCAAATCTCTGCGCACCCGTGGAGCTCCCAGGCTGACGTTGGGCCAGGCACTGCTTTGCAGCCTAGCCTGCCTCACAGGGTTGTTGTTAGGACAACAGAATGGAGAGGAGACGAACCTGTCAGTCACCTTGGCTTCCCTGGGAGAGAAAGAACAGCGAGACATAAATGTAATGAAATGCTAGTAATGACATACACGACTTTCCATTTTAAAAAAAGCCAGGATCTTCAAGGGGCGGACCCTGCGCCCGTTGAGGGGCATTCCTTTCCTCTCGGGCCCTTGTGTGTTCTCGTCACAAACTGCGGCTGCGATAAAGCACCTGCCTTCTCTTGACCTGCCTTTTCCATCCCGTCACTTAAGTTCCAACGCTCATTTCCTGCCTGCAGAGATTCTTCTGCTTCAGCAGCTACTTTGGTATCTAGAGTTATCGCTTCCTCTTGCGGCCCGGAATTATCATTAGGGGTTCTGTGTTTATCGCTCCTTCCAAAACATGTGAGTCTCCGCAAACTAGGAGAGGTCTGGCAAGAGCTACCAACATGCTAAAAAGCAGCATTTAAAAATGATGCCTAAGCAATCTGATCAGTTTCTCTAGAACTGCATTTCCATGCATTGCTGTGATTCCATCGGAATAATGATTTGAAGAAGCTTCTCTTTTCCTTGAACAATGGCAAACCTGCATTTGGCAGAAAGATGGCTTCCACAGAAGTTACTGCATGCAACCGGAGACTAAGACTTTCGCTCCTTACAGTCCCTATCTAGGGCCCTTCTCTGGGTGCTGCCACTAAGAGAGCGTCAAAGAAAGGTCTTTTCAGTGGTGGCCTCCAATTTGGAGTTCTGTTCCCATCAAGTCCCAACCAGAAGCGACACTTTCACTGTTTTGGTGCCAAGTTACAGCTCCCGTCTATTCCAAGGCAGGCCCACGTCAGCACAGCATGTGACCGGCAGACTTGCGTATGCATGTCCCTGATGTTTGTATTGCAGCAGTTAATTGCTTTGACTTTTTAAATAGTGTGTGTTTTTGTGTTACTAAAAGCCTCCTTCAGTCCCCTTTGAGAATGGCACTTCAGAATTATTACTGCTAGGGAGCCGAGTCACGCTCTTTCAAGGTACCCACCCACCTCTCCCGATGTGAGCATGCTTGTCCTGGGCCGTTAGGAGGCGTCTCCCACCCAGAATCCTGATTAATGATGGTTGATAGCATCACCTCCTCCCATCCTCGTGAACCGTCTGGGGACATGACCAGGCTGCAAACCAGGAGCAATTTCCAGCCAGGTAGAGCAAACCCAACCAGTGGTGGCAGCTTAGAGAGAAAGTGATGTATGCCAAAAGAGGCTTTTGTGGATGCTGGCCCACCTCCTCAGAGGTGCGATTATGGAAAATTCCAGGTTTTCATGCAGGATGAGTGAGGAGGCTGGAAGAAAATTGTGGGCGGTGAGGTTGGAAGGAAATTCAATGCGAGAAGCACATGGCAGCAACAACCAAATTTATTAATAGTGGCCATAAGCTGTGCAGTTGTTAATAGCAAGAACATCCTGGCCTTAGATGAGCAATTAACACCGGTCATGTAATAAACACCCTTTATCCTGATTCAAGCTGCTGGTATTAGAACTGCATCTCTGGGTGATTTCAGACTGGCATCTTCTCACCCTAACCTTGTTTTGGGAGTCTTAGCCCCTTGATGGCTAAGAATGCAATTTGGGAACCAGACCCTGCAGTAAACCTAGACACCAGCCCTCACCTTGTAAGTTCCCTGGGAACATGATTGTAGGGCCACATAGTGTCCTGCCCCCCACATTAAAAGTGAATGCACTGGCACATCTTCCAACTGGTCAATCAAGCAAGCAATCAGCTTATTTATTATAGTTATACCCCACCCTTTTCTTCTTCCAAGGAACTCAAAGCAGCTTACAAAATTCTTCTCTCAATCTTATCCTCGCAACAACAACCCTGTGAGTGGAGTTGCGTTGAGGCTGTTGGGTTGAGACTGTGACCCAGTGAGCTCCGTGGCCGAACACGGACTTGAGCCCAGAGCTCCCGAGTCCTGGTCCTGTGCTCTTCAATTCCTCTCTCCCCTGCTTTCGTCCTGAGAAAAATCCCTCAGGGCATTCAATTTATTGCAAGGCAAATAAGGCTTCAGAAGGTTTTCGTCAGGAAAGGTTGCCCTGGAGAAAACCCTGAATGCTAATCTCAGTTTCGCTTACCCTCTGGTGGAAAATTTTAAAGTTTTAAAGCCCGGAAGACAACAAGTGGGCTCTTTGCTGGCAAAGCAAGCAACGCTGGACGTCCAGCTCTGTACCATGAAAGGAATCTCTCTTCTGCATCAGGGACGGACACCTGGAGGTCCGTTTGCAGTCCCCACCGTGGGGCACACCCTGATTACCGGGCAGTGCTGGCTGGCGTGCCTGCGAGCGTCTCCTGAAAAGCACTTCGTAGTGAGCAGAGGTCTGTGAATGAGAGGCGGCATGCTTCAGGCCACCTGGGGGGTGCCTGCAAAAGGTTTTGGGGCCGAGCCGCAGATGGTATTGTGTGGCAGGTTTGCACCCCGGCCAAAAGGGCTGGTTTTTCTCTCGCACGCTTCAGGCCTCTGACTTGGGTGGCATGCAAGTATTTGGATAAAAGTCCGGGAGGACCCCAACCCCTTGCAGACCCCGATCGAGAGAGGCAGGGGCGACCGTGCATCTAAATGTAATGTCTTCACACAGTCTTCCCTAACCCACCACCCTGCCAGTGTTTCAAACTACATCTCCTATCATCCCCAGCTAGTCTCAGGTGATGTTGGGAGGTGTCGTCCAAACACTCGGAGGAAGGTCAAGGGGAGCCTAACCAACGTCTGTGGCCGGTTCTTGCTCATGGAGAGAAGCCCCTGCTCTCTGCCTCTGGGAGCTCCCCATGACGGCTTCCTCCATTGAGCTCCAGCCCAAAACGCAACCACAGAGAGGATTCTGCAGTGCCTGCTCCACAGAGTCACGAGTGAATGGTGCAACCTCTCTCTTGCGTGGCTCCGGTGACTGAGTCAACCGGAAAGTTGAGGGTGATTTCATACTTCGAGAGTGGTCAGGCCTCAGAAGGTGCTTTCCCTTCACCACACTCCATGCATTAATTGCTTTAGAAGTTGTCCTCTGCTTCTGTCCTGCAAGAAGAGCATGGGATGATGCAACTCTCAAACGCTCGTTGCACGGCAAGTTCTTTCTCTTCAGGATCTGGAGAAATATCAGGCAGGCAGGGGAGCGTTTCGCAGGGAAGGCCCCCAGGTGCTGCTGTGGAATGTCTCTCTGCCCCGATCCTTCCGCAAGGGGCACCCGGGCCTGCATCAGGGAAATGAAGGCGGGTGCCCCAGGAGAGATCGTGGGGGACAGAGAAGGGAAGAGGCGTGTGGCAGCAGGGATGCAGTCGTGCTTTGGAAATAAGCTCCCTCCCTCCCTCTTTCTGCAATGTCTGAACAGGCATGAGCTGGATGATGAGTGTCAGGGCTGTCATAGATGTCCTTTTCGCTGTTTGGTTGGACCCTGTAAGGCGGAGAGGCCAGTCTCCATCAGAACATCAGTGCAGGACCTGGAACAGAACCAGCTAAAAGCTCTTTTAAATTCTCATTCCATACCCTGGAGAAAAGGTGGCTTCTGGACTGAATGCCAGGATTTCCCCCCCAGATTAGAAAGGGAAAGCATAATCTAGGGTCACAGTCCAAGAGGATGGTCACGAGGTGAAAGAGCTTGTCCAGGTGCTCAGGAGGCAAGTTAGCTCCCCGCAACTCAGGTGTATCAGACCCTGCCTCCCATCCTTCCCCAAGAGCTGGCTGGGGCTGATGGGAGCAGCCGGGGCTGATGGCCCCACGGGCCTCTGCCCAGCAGTTCTGCACCCAGATGCTGCAGGCGCAACCCCAGCAGCCAGCCACGGGGGCCGCATCAGGCTCAGCACCACCAAAGCGCCGCGCTGCGTGGAGGGCGCTCTTCCTGGACTAACCGCTCTCTGCCCTTGTTTCTTCCAGTGCTGCTGACGGCGGTGAATTGCTACAGCGTGAAGGCTGCCACCCGCGTGCAGGACGCCTTTGCGGCCGCGAAGCTCCTGGCCCTCGCCCTCATCATCACGCTTGGCTTCATACAGCTGGGGAGATGTGAGTGTTCTCTGGGCGCGTAAAAGGGGGCGGTGGTGGTGGTGGGAGGCCACGGGGGGATCAGGGGCGAGGGCTGACTGTGAGGCGGGGCCGCTCTAAAATGCTTGCATTGTTCTCCATCACCTGTGCCAAAAGGGCAACGTATGTGTGGGGGTGTGGAGGGTCCCATTTTTATCTCAGCGGCAAACCCTGTGAGGCTGAGCGAAGTTTTTCCCGGGGGTTCCATGCAAAGATTAAGGCTGGTGTTCAGGATAAACCAACAGGAAGCAGAAATTCTGCAGAAACAGTTGTCCATGTTTCTCAGTTCATGTGTAACCGTAAAGCAGGAACTGAAAGTGGAATTCTAGCATTAGTTGTGGCCTGTTTCCTTCTTGAGAACACATTGAACCAGATAGAGGAAACCCCCCTGTCCTTCAGGGGTTTGGGACTAGACTTCCATCAGCCTCATGGTCAGCAACTAGGGGTTATGGGGACTGTACTCCAAAACAGGGCCTCCACTGCACTGAACTTCATTTTCACTGGCCGTGCCCTTGGCTGTGTTCTGCCCAAATGTTTTCCGTTACTGCAAGCAGCCCTGTGGCCAGAAGGAAGGTCAGAGCGCGATTGCCTTTCAGCCCGTTGTCCATTTACGTGAGTTGAGAAATGGTCGGTGCACATTTCTTGTCGAGATGCATGCATCGTCTCAGTTATTCCTACATCACCGGAAGTTGCTCCATTCCTGTTCAGAGAATCGGTCTTCCCAGACCCCTGTGGTCTCCTTTGCCCGTTGGGAGCACCTTGAGCTGCCCCAGGCATCGCAGTCTGGCCCAGTACCTCTGGCACGGCCCCCAAGAGCTCTTCCAAAATGGAATTTGGCACACGGACTGAGACGGGTTCTGCGCCTCCGCTGTATGTGGAGGCGCTCAGTGTTTACCTTTGTGTCCAAAGCTTGTCTCCAGCCGCTGAGCCTCCTGCATGTCCGGCTTTTGGGAATCTCAGGCTGAAGGCCATTCCGCATGCTGCCCTGATCGGGTGCCACTTCCCCCTCCTCCAGTCTTGCCAAGGGTTGCTCCTCAGTTCTGCCCCCTGTTTTGCTCTCAAACGGTGTACTTTGGGCACCAGATCTTCCCACTCATTCAACAGGCCTTCAGCCCAGCCTGGTCATGTGGCCTGTGAGCCGGTGTTTCTCCTGTCTGAAAACAGATCGAGTGCCAGCCGGTGTGGCGTTTCCCCTTGGCTGCATCCTCGCAGCGTTTTCAGAACTCTCTGGTGTGAGATAACACAGGCGCCCTTTCCACTCCCACATGCTGCTGATTCTGCTTCCGAGAAGGGCATGTGCAGGCAGATGGGTGGCGTTTGTGACCTGGTTGTGCCCTCTCCTGTCCTGCTCGAGGTCCGAGAAGTGAGGAGAGCAGGTCCTGCCACCCTTTTTCCTCCTGTCCTGGACGAGGAGCAGCTGAAGAGCACTTCCAATGCGTGTGCATTTAAAAAGAGCTTAAGTGCTCCCAGGGGCTTCCTTTTTCCCTAAGACCCTTCCCACTTGTTGAACTCCATTCGGGGGAGCCTGACCTGGTATATTTGGGGGTCTTTGCCCTATTTATTGATCTATTTAGAGTGCTTTTCGCTCGCCTCTCACCCGAGGAGGCTTCTGGAGCAGCTTGCAAAGAATAGGAGGCAGACTTGGCCCGCAGCATGCTTCCAGTCCACAAGACACGGCACACGAGGAAAAAGGGCTGAGGAAGGAAGAGGGGGCTTGTTTTCAGCAGGGCTGGTGAAATGGCCCTGCGTGCCGTCTCACCTTTCCCAGCACAGCCGGCTGGAATAACCGCCGATAATGACAGCTGAGGAAGAGGGTGCGAGGCTATGGAATTCCATCCTCCATGCAGACATGCCTCCCTCTCTTTTCCGGTCGGAGTGGGCAACACGGCCTGCATTTAGCCCCCCTGTCCTTTTTTGTGCCCTGCTCAGCTGCCACAACAACAACAACGAAAGGTCAATTACTCCTTCAGTTGAGAAAACAAGGCACAGTTTTCCACCAAACCTTGTGCTGCAGGAGCCAAAAAGACCCCTGCCATCTCCGTGTTTGCAGCAAATTTGGCCAGGAGGTGGGAAGGACAGGGGCACACACCTCCACCTTACCTGCTACAGGTGGGGCAGTTGGACCCTGCAGCCCGCAAAGCCGCTTGGCCTTGCTCAGCAAAATCCGCCAGAACGCTTCTTCTCCAGAGGTCTTTGCTCTTGATTGGCTTTCTTTGTGTGCTCGTTTTCTCCTCCCTTAGAGCTTAGTCTTAGGTGCGTGCGGTTGGCTTTTACATGCAGAGGGGGGTTTCCTCGCTCCTCAGAGTTTGGGATAGTTTAGAGTCTTTCTGATATTGTACTCATTTCACGGTAAACTGCTCCATGGCCCTGCGAAGCTTCCAAGCAGGTATCCATCGCGGCTCCGTCGCAGCCTGAGAATTCGCCCCTTGCTTTGAAGTCACGCGAGATGGCAAGGCCGTTTCCAAACTTCCAGGCTGAAAGGTCTCTTTTTAAAGCCTCAGCATTTTCAGGAATAAAGCTAACTTTTGTCAATTGTGTTTGTTTCCTACTAATGAGGGAGCCCTCATGACACAAACCAGTGAGTGGGTTGCCAAGGCAATAATCGGTGTCATTTTTTTGCTTTTCGATGAACAGATAAGTGGATGGGAGCTTTGAAGGGAAGAATATCTTCTTCTGTGCAACAAAGCCATGAAGGAGGGGGAAAGCCTCCCTCTGGGGCAAGATAAGCCGCACTTGTTGAGCAACAAACGAATAAGAATAACAAGGAGGCCTTTTTTCCTCCTTTCCTTCTCTGGCTTCCTGCAAAAGACCTTTCCTTGTGCCCTCCTCTTGCTCCACCACCCTGCCTCGCCTGAAATTCTCGCTTGACTTCTGGAGATCCCTCAGGCAGGTTGACAGAAATTATCTTTCTCTCTGCCCCAAACTCTGACTCTTCCAGAACGCACCTCTTTGCTCCTGTCCTTTCCTCGAGTGACCAGCCAGACCAGAGGGCTCTCACAAATGCCTGAGAAACGCAGTGCAGGCTTCATCCTTTGGGCTAAGAAATCTTTGGTTCAATGTGCTAATAATAGCTCCCCTTTAATACCGTCAGAGAGTCCTTTCCACCCAGTAGAAATTTGCCTCGGAGGTATTTTTGTAGGTTCCGGGTCATACTTATGTAAGCAAGAAGGCTCAAGGTTGGCAGCTCTACCAAGCTGGAACTGGTTGCTACCAGCTCTCTCTTCTGGGACTTCTCTAAGCATAACTTGTGCATTTTCAAGCCAGTTTGGATGGCCATGAGGAGTAGGAACGTGGTTGGGTTTTGGGTTTTGTTTTTAAGCAGGCACATATCCTCAGCAGCTCCGTTTTTGAACCCTGCAGCTTAGCAGTCACAAAATTTTAGGTATGGATGGAGTGTCAGAAAAGTATTTGCACATTGTATGTGAAGAATGATGGAGAAGAGAGTTAATTAACCCACAAGTTCCACTGCTGTTTTGTATATGCACCTTTGATCAGAGGTTGCTGTGTGACGTCCTGGATGCTCTAAGTGAATCATGGGTTAAACAGCCCAGCTAACTGCATTACTTAACCCATTATTCACCTACAATATTCAGGTTTGGACACTGTACAGCAACTACTGATCAGAGCTTAGAAATTCAACATGGTGGTGGAATACACCCACTATGCACGTGACTTTGAATAGGTTTTAATCCATTCTTCAGATTTTAATTTTTGGTTTTTATGGTGACAGCGATTTATGGCAGCATTTGATGCTGCTAAATAGTCTTGGGGACATTTTTGCTGCCGAAAGGGGATCTAGAAAGAGCTGCATAGGTAAATCCATTCTGTGAAAAGAGCAGAACCATTTCCAGGTTTGCTCTGTTCAACAGATGCCAGGTCAGCTAAGGGCACCGAATAAGGGAGCATCTGGGATCGGTTTAGTCCCTTCCTGGATAAAGTTTAGACGCAAGCCTGGACCAACATCTCTTTTGTGTTTTTATGCATATAACTATGTAGCCAGTCTGGTTAAGAACTGATGTGGGTACACTGCAAGATTTGGAACTGGGTCATTGTCCTATGCAAATTAGATTAATGTGCACACAGAAATATTCTGAGGCCCTAGAACATTAACTAATTTAGCACGATCATTTTACCCTTTTATTTGTTGTAAACACAAAGCTTAAAAAAAAGTTAATTTATTTTGTTCCAGTACACCAAAACCATCTGGTTTGACATATCCAAGCAGGAAAGTATTAGCTCACACTGAATGTGATTTAAATGTTATATCCCTCAGACATTTTTAATGGAGCCCTTCTAAAAATGTAGACAGTTCCATGTCCTTCTGTTGAATTTCAAGAAAAATAAAAAAGATACTGAAAGCCACTGTCATGAATAGCGGGGAAACAGAGCATAAACTCCTTAAATAAAAGAGCAAGCAAAAGTAATTATCCAGCAGTGTCTGCCTGCAAATGCAAGTGGAGTTAACAGAGCTCTGACGAATCTTTTTATTGTGCAGTTTGTTGCATGTGATACACCGGTTGTGCAACTGTGTTTGCCCCAGGAGACTTAGTCCTCACTAGAGTCTCTCTTGTGCATTGTTCAGAGCTTCATTTCCACGAGTGCAATCCCGTTGGGCTCGTGGAATTGTACTCTGAGCATCCACGTGTGGATTTATTCATTACAAATTCCCATTGGTAAGCTGGGGTGTTGTTTTCATGCTGAAAATGATGGCACTGGTTCCATTTGGCCAGTGCGGCACACACCTGGCTTTACTGCAAACAGGAGGGGTGGCTATTTCTCTCCTTAGCCCAGGAGAGCTAATTCTGCACTGTTTATGGTACTAATGAGGGAATTAAATGAAGGGTTAAAGTTCCCTTTGATGTTACGAAGGGCCCCCTTACAGTGCTCCAGAAGGAGGTTGGGCAGATCCCAAACACCTGATGCCTGTGTGTGTGTGTGTGTGATGTGCCAGCCAAGTTCTGTGCTTGTTCAGTCACCCATCT